GAAATAAAAGCTAGTTTTCTGTAAACAAATCTGTGATAAGAATGTGTGGTAAGCCTAATTATATGACAATGAATTATTAAACATGTAAAATTATTTTAGAAAAGCTCAAGTAGGTTAATGTATGGCCGTACATATTCAATGCAAAGTGTGTTTTTTTATATTCTTTGACAACAAAAGCATTAGTGCTTCTATTTAAACAAAAACAAAGGTCAAACAATGTTGCAATCATATTGATAACACTTTATTTGACCGACATCTAAATCCACTATTTATGGTAATATACACACTTCACATTACAGGAACATCTAAGAAAAAAATCCGAACTTACAGACGTAATGTAAACCAGTACCTGGAACATGATACATGAAATACCCTGAAATACAGCCCGAACGCTCACAGTACGCAGGAGGCGAAACCAAGGGTCTTCGAAAGGTAACCCGAAAAAGTAAGGAAGGTAAACGAAGAAAGTTCAGGAGGAAACCATAGGACTATGAAAGATAATCTAAGGGCCTCCAAAAATTAAACCAAGAGACTATGGAAGGTAATCTAAGGGCCTCCAAAAGTTAAACCAAGAGACTATGGAAGGTAATATAAGGGCCTCCAAAAGTTAAACCAAGAGGCTAAGGAACGAAAGCGTTTTCTACCGGCATGATATCTTAGACACCAATCATCATTGTTTGATTTTTAATTTCCTCGATATCAGAAAAGGATGTTATGTGCATTATGAAGCTAACAAATTATCACAAGGAAGATTTGGCGACCATTCCTGGACAACATGATGGTTTGTATGAATATACCTGCACTCATAGAGATATTTTTGAAATAACTAGCACAAGGATATCTGAAACCATTAGTAACTAAAGGTTTACTCAGGTGCCAACAGATGAAATGTTGGCCATGCTACACTAAGCGTCTTCCAAGTATTTGCTTAGTGAGAATCATCCCATATATGTGTAATGTTCACAAATTCAAAAGTTTAAACCTGACATTTATCAATTTATCTTTAGTTGATTCAGAGCAAAGAAAAATGGAAAACAACATGTGATGGAATTATTTACCTTCTTAATGTCTCTTCACCCTACAATAATTCAAATCAGATATCATAATTCATTTTTGTGTAGTAGTCTTTGAAGATTTTGTAACACTACTTCCGCTCTGTAACAACAACACACACAAACACACACTAGAAGGAGTGCATATATATTTTTCAAGGTTGTCAAATGGGAGTTAACTCTTTCAAGCTTAAGCTAAAACTCGAAGCTTATCACAAATGAGTTTGTGGACGATTTTGTAATATTTTAAATACCTTATTCTGATTTACGTACTATCCAATATACGTTAATGTAGATTGAGGGTATTTGACGATATCTGTTGACATTATGAAGGCTTGTATTAAACATCAGTAGTCTACATGCACTGTTTCAAGCAAGTATTATCATATTGTATCATATGATTAATTAAACTGTAGCGTTATGTTAATACATTCATTTCAACGGAAACTATACGCAAGTATCCTTCACAAATGAATATTATAGGAAAACCATATAGACGTGAGCACGTTAATCAGTTGTGTTTAGATGTAAGTGTATCTTGTTGTCTTGCTGTTTTTTTTAAAGACCAGTTTTCTAAATATAGCTAAAACGTTTGATTTAATTTTGCATTTTGGTCGTGATCATTCTAAACTTAATGTTTATAAAAATTCACTTTCACCAAAATGTGTCGCTGCAGAGAGGTATTAGAACTCTATACATTACTATTACATCATTAGACAAACCTCTAGCCTACTTTCCGGAATATGATATCTTGATTCGGTTTAATATAAAAGATTGGTATTGAAGTTTTACTTCTCACACAAACATTAAGGTTTGAAATGCATCTGATTAACATTTATATGGGAGTATGCAACGGATTTCCGTGCAAACATTATTTCTTGATGCGCGTTATTCACCGTAAAGCAGTACACACACCTAAGCCCGAGTTTCATCCGGCCCTAACACCAGACTAAGACATGTTGTCTAGGTGTTAGGGCCAGAGGAAAATCGGGCTATACACACTTGCTTTTAGTGAATTATAAGTTGGTAGTTATCTCATTAGACTGCAGCACCAATGTAAGTATAGTTCTATAAAAGTTCAGTGTGGTGTGTCATGACGTGTTACTAGCTGGGTATAGATCTAACACGCATTTCCCCATTTGAGTCAAAAAAGAGTAATGAATATGACATAGTTGTTGTCTCCCCTTCCCCTCGTACGTATATGGGTCTTAATTTGGTAGCTTGATTTGTTTTTCCGTCTTAGTAGTATTTTCATCAATCGACAATGTGATTGTGTTCGTTTCTTTGACCTGCGGATTTACTGTACTAGATTGCGGAGATTTTCGTGTGTTTTGCTCTAAATTGTCCCAGTTGTGATATTGCTAACAATTCTTGGTCGGGATATGATATACAACTCTTGTCAGTCTTGTCTATCGGGTGAAAAATACCAGTCTATGTGTTGCCAATTTTCTTATTGTGTTGATTTTTCCTCACTCTTGTTAAGACTTTGGTTGCCCATTTCCTGCAGTATATTGTATTCAGTATTGGTATTGTTTAATTACCCTTTCCTCTTGTTTTACAGACCAGTATGGTTATATACAAGAGTTAACTAATTAACTATTGATAATCACTATATAAACGAAGTTATAATCAACCCATTTAAACCTTTAACAGTATATACAGACACACCCCCCTCCCCAAAAAAAGGGAAAGGGAAACTAATCTGTCCTAGTTTATCTAAGAGTCCAACAGTCAAGCACTTTGCGACTTACTTGATAATTAGTGTGTGTAATAAAGATGGGGATGCGTTAACCCTTTCTTATTATTACAAAGATATCCTCTAAATAGTTTTTCCAACGTTTGGACAGCCATTTATGGATTTAGCTCTTATTGCAGTACACACAGTCTGCTTTATATATTCCACACACTTTGCGACTTCACGTAAAACGGAACATCCCATTTTGGTTCACGCTTTAGCTGAGATTCCCGACACTAAACACGAACTAGGCAAGTGTTTATTATCAATGCTAGTAACTCAAATGTAGATATCTACGGACAGATCCGTTTACATACTAAGCGGTTTGTATGTCGAATCGGTTTGTATGTCGAATGTGTATCTCTGGTGAACCTGATGGTACTGGGGGATTGATACATTACGGTTCCATATCAATAAGGCGTAACATACAATTGTACCTTCCTCCTCCTCAATAGGGACATTTTCAAACCCATATTTTAGATATGGTTTTTTGATTATTTTTGACACAGTTCATAATATACACCAATAATTAAAATGAATTAATAAGTACATCTCTTCACATGATTAATGAGTTTTACGTACCTCCCTTTCTGTTTCAACAGTAGTTAAAACCGATTTGGATTCCCACCTTTTTGGTCCCTAGCAACAGCTCTATACTGACCTACAATTACATTTAGAGGGGTTGTCATGTGTATGTTTTTTGTTCACCTTTGACAGGGTGTTGAGTTGTTTTACCAATAGTCAATGTATGCAAGGGGTCGTGGTAGGAATCAATAGATAAAGATACAATCACTTTTGGATTTTGGTACCATTGTTTCATGAATTCTGGATATATAATGCAACCATCGGACATTTTTGACGATTGGTAAAGGTAATTATATTGCTGGTTCGTGACGTGAGAGTTTTTCTCATTCTAATCTAAAGATCTGCCGTTTGCCTTTTTTTATACGTACGGGCAGGATATTTCAGAAGAACTGTTATACCTGGTGTCACTTTTAAAATCTAGCCCGGCAAGATAGCAGTCCTTATTTATTTCTTGAGCTCCCCGGGAGTTTTGTCCTCGTCTGTAGTTAAATTGATTATGTCAGTCACAGCGAGTATGGGGGCTCTGTCGGCAGGCGAATTGTCCCGTATGATCGGTCTAAGCTCGAGACACAGACATATTTGGCTTGGAAAACTGATGCATGTTTAAACTTACATTAGAGTTAAGAGTAAAAATTTTAAAAAAATGCAGATGCCAAGATAACTGATTAATATTCGAAATGGTATGTTTTCAACTCGATCATTTAACATATGAAGCTGGGCCCGTCGTGATTGGTATTGTAAATAAGCGAAACTAACAATGTCGGAACATATTTCGTCAAGAAGATATACTACCAGACATGACATATTATCTATTGTTTACAATAATCAACCAGTTTGAAGCGATGTCTTACCATTGTACCATATCGTTAAAACGTCAAACTTTGAAAAGGTTCTTTTGAAATGTTGACTTGTATTTTTCTTTTGTGGATACTTATTCCAACTTTGCAGCCGAGTATCACAACAATTAGACATGGCACGAGTCTTGCGACGCCAATGATTTCACGAATACTGGATATATTCTCATACTTAAAAACGTATTATTAAATGTATAATTATCTAAAACAACTAATGTAAGTTAAACACGTGATTCTACCTTAAAATTTGGCAATTGGTACTGAAGACTAAATATGAATTACACTGCATCGTACAGCTGTTTCGTTCTTCATCATCGGTGATGCTAGGGATTAAAACGTTGGAGAAACATAAGGGGACCCTGCCACAACTCAAACGAGGTAACTGTCGCCTTAGGGGTTGCATCCAATCTTGGTGACTAAGCATCCATCAGCAAAATCTCCTTGTATCGTGAAACCAACATTCTTTTATCTCTCCGAAATCAATCAACAGGGTCTGAGAGTATACACAAACAAGGGGAATAGTGCGCTGCTTTAAGTCCCGGTAAAGTATCACTATCCCAATGCAGGAAAAATACTGGAAAATCCCAATGTAGGTTGTCGTACACACAGTACCTTACCCTAATTTCGTTTTGGGTAAAACTGTAGCTTGACGGTGCTATGGTACTACCGTTGACACGGTAGCTTGGTAGGCTAGGGCGATAGTGTAATGACCGGAAGTAGTACATGGCCGGAACCCTGTTCTGGCCCCGTTGCTCTTTCACATTAAAAGCACTGCTTTTTATTTCTTTTTATTTCTTTTATTTTTTGTAATATCTCATTAGAGTTCCGGAAGGTACAGTTTTCATTTCAGAAATGAATTAGCAAAGCATATTTACAGTTGTTGCCAATGGAACGGTGTTCCTTAATCACGTACGAAATCAAAATAACACGAAACTTCCTTGTTTAAATAAGAACTGTTGTATGAGGCCTGCTTTATGGTAACGGGTCCAGAAAGTCACGTTAGATTGTTGGCGTCTCTGTGGGGTTTCATAGATGACACTACGTATCACGGGGTTCCACCAATGGGAACATGTGATACATTACCGAGTATATTTAACGTGATGTCTTTACTCCAGGGTCCCTCGATACGGATATATTGGCCCTTACTCACGGCCCTTATCCTTAACCACCACGTGCATTGTCCCTCAGAAAAAGTCCTCCTTTCACCGTCCAAGATAAACCTTGTTTCTGTCGTGTACACCCTAACAATAGGGATTCCGCGGTCTGACAAGTTTAACCAATCACCATCATTTTCCTTTTTAAGCTGAAGTTCATATACAAGTTTAGGTATTTCATTGAAGTTTGATGGTGGTGTCCATGTAATGTTTATTTGGGTGGGGGAGGTCTCCGATATTTCGTATACGTTTTCTTCTAGTATAACGTCCCGTGGACATTCCGTTACAGCTTGTGTCAGGTTCGAAGGCATGGTCTGTCGGCGAGTTATTGGTGGCGGACGGGGATTATACGGAAGTTCATTTCCATTGCATATTCCTAAACTGCCTGTAACGTTTGTCGGTGCTGATATTTGACGTCTGGGGAGCCGTCTTCCATTGGTCCTACTGAAAATCGATACAAATACGTATTATTGATTGTTATGTAGAATATTAGGTAACGTGAAATTCGGCGCTGTACAAACTATCATACACCATGTGCTGAGATAAAATAAATGAAACATAAAGTTGCCTGTTGTTTCGTAGTTTAGAAGTGTATAATTAATTGCTGGCTGTCAGTGCACCGGTGCTGGTCATATAATTAATTTTCTTTTGTCAGATTAGGCTTTGTATCTGACCTGTCGTGGTCAGGGAATGCTTAACTGTATTCCCTCCCTATTTGCACCTGATAATGATGTGATATGATATTACACTGTATCCATGTCATTTGTCAGTCCCTGATCAGGCATTTGAGCTAGGTTCACGTCTGTGTTAAGCCTTGAGGACGTATAAAGCATTTAACACAACGATTGGTGTTAAGTATTTGTATCCGAGAGACTTTGAGGTTAACACTATGGTATTAACAATGGAAAAGTCGATGATGGTTCGGACCTATACTGAACACTTACACAGATATCGGTTACAGGAAACCTACGTGTTTTACTTCCTTGCACAGTATCACTGGTAAACACATCTGATTGGAAAGTACATACTAACCTTATGTGTTTCCGGACTAACATAGCCCACAAAAAACAGGTTAAACCAGAACAAATTCAGAATTCAGTGTCACCGTCATTATCCGTATGGTTTATCGTTTTATACATCTCCGCTAAAACATTGATATACATAACTATAGCCTTACGCATACGCACTAGACACGTTTGACCGACAGGGCGTGCGACAGACAGTCTTCAAATGTTTATGTAATGCTTCAGAAAAGGAAGAAGGGATAACATGTGTAAATACGAGGTAGAGGATATTAGTCATCTGTACTAACCATGATGACAAATCCCCTCAGGTGTATGCAAAGTGGAGAAGTCTAAACTAACATGTATTATAATAAGAAATGCTAGTGAAATGACACCGATAGTTCAAATGATGTACGTGTATGTTTAATAAAAATAGAATTTTAAATGACATACTAGGCTGTGTCTGCTGTTTATCTAATTAATTTTTGAGCTTATAACTTTGCATGGAGACTTATGTCTTAACATTTTCTGTTAATGTTTTATATGTAATTTCTTGAATTGATGCCTTTACTTATGTTTGTCGGAGTAATAGCTAATGTTAAATGTTTTTAAATATCCGACGTTAAATAAAGTTTATTGTATTGTATTGTATCGAACTATTCATGAAATATACAGCTGCATTAACAAACCTTGTCTGTGAAGCCACGTGACCTTCGCCGGTAGATGGAGCTTTTTTAGATGGTCCACCATTACAGTTCCGTAATAGGGGTTCGTTATCGGGAAACTCGTCAAACTCTTCATCATCGTCGCATGGGAGATGTATTTGTAGGGTGACATCACCGATATCACAGCCGACGACCTCACCAGAGTACCTCTCCTCTACAGTACTCATGGCTATACCTGTCTGTTATATATATATATATACAGCGCAATAGAAAATAAGGTTACACGGTAGGAAAGGTGACTTGTTTATTCTACCACAGCACCGTTACTTCCTGGAGCGATCGGTCACCTGTACGAACAGACGTGTACATTGGTGTAACTGTGTGTCCTTATCAAAAACACACTGTTCTGACATGTAGATATAAATGGGCACCTGTGGTGTGTGCTTTCCCCACCATAGTCACACAGATATGTGTCTTTATTCCCTGTCAGCTGTTAGTCTGTGCAGGTGAATACACGAGGGACATATTTCGTCGGTCATAGTGCATCGCCCTGCACGACGCCCGCGGTGATTACTGAACCAATATAAATAACTGTTATCTTTATTTGAAGTTTTCTTAGCTCCACAAACAGTCAACCAAATATATAAAAAAAAAATACACCATCTTCTTTATGTCGAATAATTACAAATATTCAAATACGCTCACTAAGATATTGGATCACCAGTTTAGAGTTATCGCTATGACTTTGACTTTTAAGAAATTCGATGTGAATAATTGATATGTCGGTAAGGTGACTGGTTTATTTTAAACAATTTGCTCTGTAAATGCATGGTTCAAAACTTCATATAAATCTTTAAACTTCTCTATTTTGTGATCAATAGATATTGCGATGAAAACAATATATTAATTGAGTTAGGATTATAATGTAATATTTCTACTTGACAGACTTTTTTATTGTGCATGTGGAATGTAAAGGTACCTGGATGAACCCCTTACACCACAAACATGCAGATTCATGAATTAAACTGACAAGTGTGACCTTGTATTTACAACAGGGACATTTATTACGTTGATTTATCGTAAAATAAAACTTTGTTATCTCCCCTTTCTGTAGTTGCGGCGTTTCGCTTGGGACTTGAACACAAGTGTGTTACTCAGCCCGGACTCGTAATGTTTAGGTATCAGCATTGATAAAATATTTTTCATTTTGATATTTTTCCATTTATGATTAATTCTGCTTATCAAACTGCCAGTAATAATTTATAACAAATGAGGCGAAGCCGTTTAACAAACTATTTCGTCAGCGTGTGATATATATTACTACACATGACCCCTATCGAACTTTCCCACATAATTAACGTAATAGCCATTGAAATGTTCAATGACAATTATTATTGTAATGAGCACATCGTCAGCTCTTATCACACGGCGCTGACTGAAGTGGTATATCTCACATTGCCGGCTCCGAATATGCGAATAAAGCAAGTTCATCGGAGACCTGACCTAGAAACACCAAAACAATAACAATAATCAAACTTCAAAACGTTTTGCTGATGTGTTGCCTTTAGATTTATATATTTATTTATTTTTTATCGTCTTCCACTTTTGTAAAATATATCTAATTACTCCGGCATATATACATCATTCATTTTCATTTCATGTACATTTGATCTGCTTAATTAGAATCATAACATGGCAATTATTATAACAATAATTTGAAACACACACAAACACACACCACACACATGCACACCTTGCACACATAATCACACCATCTCTCTTGCATTCGCATAAACGTGTATATTTATACTGAACTTCTGGAATCACTTCTTTGCCCCATATACTGAACATCTTATACACTTGCGTACTTATATATATGTATCCCACACTTTCATCCTTTTATCCATTTGCATGTATTTTATAATTAAAATCATATCAACATTAATGATAATTTAAAGTAGTATTTAATATAGATCCGGATAATTTGTTTGCATCCGTTTCTTTTTATCAAACTTTAAAACAGTTACTAATGGATATTTTTGTATGTTATTCAAAAACATAAACGGAGTAATAGTCTTAGAATGCGGAGACTGCAATAAAAACAGCTTTTTTTCTACGGCAATGTACTGTCGTGAAATCTACCTCTGCTGTTAATTATGTCTCCACTGGAACTGGTTCTTCTTCTTCTGGTTCTCCTTCTTTGATATGATTTACTATGATTTACTATGGTTTACTATGGTTTACTATGATTTACTATGATTTAATATGGTTTACTATGATTTACTACGATTTACTACGATTTACTATGGTTTACTATGATTTACTATGATTTAATATGATTTAATATGATTTACTATGGTTTACTATGATTTACTATGGTTTACTATGATTTGATATGATTTACTATGGTTTACTATGGTTTACTATGATTTACTATGATTTACTATGATTTAATATGATTTACTATGGTTTACTATGATTTACTATGATTTACTATGATTTACTATGGTTTACTATGATTTACTATGATTTACTATGATTTACTATGGTTTACTATGATTTAATATGGTTTACTATGGTTTATTATGGTTTACTATGGTTTACTATGGTTGACTATGATTTACTATGATTTACTATGATTTACTATGGTTTACTATGATTTACTATGATTTACTATGATTTACTATGGTTTACTATGATTTACTATGATTTAATATGATTTCCTTTGATTTACTATGATTTACTATGATTTACTATGGTTTACTATGGTTTACTATGGTTTACTATGATTTACTATGATTTACTATGATTAACTATGATTTAATATGATTTACTATGATTTACTATGGTTTCTATGGTTTACTATGATTTACTATGATTTACTATGATACATTATGGACGCAGGCTACAAGCCTCTATATCCATACAGTACATACAACAAAATTTGCAATATAATATGCTTCAAGCGTAATTGAACAGTTTTTAATACAGTACTCATCTAAACCAATTTTAAACTGAATAACATTCGATGAATCAATGACATCCTGTAGAAGACTGTTCCATATATCAACAACACAGAAAGTAAAGAAATGTTTCCTTATATCAAGATGACAGTGTTGTTTTTTTTAAAGTTTGTACGAATGCATTCTTGTTCTACTACTAATATCCGACTGAAACATGGTTTCAGACACTCTAGGATCATAAAAGTTTTTCACAATCTTAAAGACGTTTATTCGGTCTCCTCGCATCCTGCGACGGTGCTTTAAGGTTGGTAGATTTAATCTCTGCAGACAGATGCTCTGTATGTCATATTACTAAATCCATGTATGATCTTGGTAGCTCGTCTCTGGACGTTTTAAACTAAATCAATAGCCTTTCTCCTGTATGGACTCCATACACCAAAGTTTAGCTCTTCATCTATAGTTACGCCGATATCTTTTTTCACATTTTATGCTTCTTCTTCTGGTTCTTCTAATCGCAACTTGTCCGGGCCATACATTTAAAACTGTTAAATATATCTTGATAAAACTTGAAGTACACCTGCATCACCCACAGAAGATGAACAGTGCACTGGAAATAGGTCTCGTGTCCCATTATATACAGAGTTATAGCCCATTTTTAATCTTAATACCGAAGTTTGTCCACGGCATAGCGTCCATGGTATTTCACCTAAGTTGACCAAACTGGAAAGGCGGAGAGTCGAGTACTGAAATTGGGTCTTGTGCTTCACTTTATAAAGAGATATGGTCATTTGCTAATTTTGTATACCGAAGTTTGTCTGCAACAAAAGTTCAATGAGCCAATAGAGGAACCAGATTGTAATCCTATGTGTGATATTTCCTATTTCTATATACATGTTAATGTGTCTAAAGTACCATAGCTACTGCAACTTAACCAAAATTGTGAAGACAGTTTAACATGAACCAGAATAATCTAAAAGTGTAATGGTTTAGAGTCACATTTTAATCTTGATGTGACGTTTCTATTCCTCAAATTTACACAAAGGCTAATAAGGGGAGACATACACTTTTGTTCACAAAAACAAGTTTCTAGTTTCTTACCGTGTAAACGGGGCCAGACTCCTATGATACTGTTTGGATAAACATAACAATTCATTTGATCGGTGTATAATTACTGACGATATCAGCTGTAGGTTTCTAGATATGGTTAGCAATGAGTTGTACATATCTGCTAGCAACCGTAAGTCAACCACTCTTATAAGGAACAGCTGTGACGAACCGGCTAACGGGCTGAGTAAACACAGATACCCGGTATGTACCTAACTAAACCTTGACCCTCCTTTGAGTATTGGGAGAGAACATGCTATATTATAATTTTGGCATTATCTACATGGCTAAACATTGCCCACAAATCTATGTATATCCCTAATACTTAAGAAGGCAGGTGACAGTGAATGAATGAAGGTCAGTGAGGATACGGGTAGATCCACCGTGAATCTGTCGATCCACCGTGAATCTGTCCATATTCACTTTAAGTGATGTCCTCCATGCTATATCTTACTATAACTGTATCCTTCCTACATCATCATAAGGGATGTCTATCATACTATAAGTAAGCCTTCCCTACATCATCATATGGGATGTTTATCATACTATAAGTAATCCCTCCCTACATTATCATATGGGATGTCTATCATACTATAAGTAAGCCCCCCCCCCCCCACATCATCATAAGGGATGTCTATCATACTATAAGTAAGCCTTACCTACATCATCATATGGGATGTCTATTATACTATAAGTAATCCCTCCCTACATCATCATATGGGATGTCTATTATACTACAAGTAAGCCCTCCTTACATCATCATAAGGGATGTCTATCATACTATAAGTAAGCCCTCCCTACATCATCATTGATGTCTATTATACGATAAGTAAGCCCCACGCTACATTATCATATGGGATGTATATCATACTATAAGTAATCCCTCCCAAAATTATCGTATGGGATGTCTATCATACTATAAGCAAGCCCTCCCAACCTCATCAATTGGGATGTCTATCATACTATAAGCAAGCCCTCCCAACATCATCAATTGGGATGTCTATCATACTATAAGCAAGCCCTCCCAACCTCATCAATTGGGATGTCTATCATACTATAAGAAAGCCCTCCCTACATCATCATATGAGATGTCTATCATAATATAAGTAACCCTACATCATCATATGGGATGTGTATCAAACTATAAGTAATCCCTCCCTACATTATCATAAGGGATCTCTATTATACTATAAGTAATCCCTCCCTCCATCATCATATGGGATGTCTATTATACTACAAGCAAGCCCCCCGCTACACAATCATATTAGATGTCTATCATACTATAAGTAATCCCTCCCAACATTATCAGATGGGATGTCTATCATACTATAAGAAAGCCCTCCCTACATCATCATATGGGATGTATATCATACTATAAGTAAGCCCCCCCCCCCCCACATCATCATAAGGGATGTCTATCATGCTATAAGCAAGCCCTCCCAACATCATCAATTGGGATGTCTATCATACTATAAGCAAGCCCTCCCAACCTCATC